CATATCTCCACAATATCTGAATTAAAGAGAAGAAAATGAGAGAAAATGCAAAAAAAAATGACCGGTTTTTTTTTGGACCATGGATCTGAGATCAAATCTCATGGTGGAGAGAAACTAGCCGTTTTTGATGGGCCAGCTCAAAACGGCTAGCTCTGGAATGAGGTGGCAGCCCAAACTGGAAAGAAACACAAGAGGGAAAGAGACGAAACGGTGCATTTGGCTCAAAAAGAGAGCCAGATGCACAAAAAATTGAAAAAGTGGACTTAGGGGCTCAAATTTGAAGCAAGGGCTACTTGGGGGTAGCACGGAATATTGTTGGTCTTGGATCTCAGCTAGATCCAAGGCTGAAAATGTGCCGCTGCATGGGAAAATATATCGGCCTACCAAAAATGGGGTACAAACTGAAAAAATCGAAAAAAAGGTTCACTAGGTTTTTTTCTCTCAAGTAAAGTTACCCCTTGAGCATTAGCACCCAAGGGGGCAACATTTTTGAAGTGAAAAGGAGGCCGAAGGAGACCAAGAGGCAATCCGAGTTGGTACCAACCACTCGGACTGCATGTACTTGGCCAAAATGAGGTCCGCGTACCTCCGGAAGGGCCTAGTAGTGAAATTTTCCCTTGGGGGTACCTCGGTTTACCTCAAGGCACATCGGGAGGCCCATGGGCTGGCCTGACTGATGGTTTCGACCTACATAAGTTGGGGATTCAGTCCGCCACATTCACAATTGCATGAGGAGTGCCCATGCTGCCCAAGTGAGCTCATAGGAGCACTCTTTCACTTGGAGAGAGGAGAGGGGAACCCATGTTAGTGTGGGAGCTTAGAGGAGACTATGAGCTAGGGAGAGGAGCTCTAGAGGCCAGTGGTAGTGAGGCTGGCACTGGGGAGGTGATCCGCCATAACCCCCAAGGTGTGAGGAGGAGAGAGAGGTTAGAGGGAGTCCCATTAGCCCTCCTAGAGGGGAGGACTTCATAGCCATCGTGGGAGGAGCTTGTCATAGCTTGGAAAGAGACAGGCAGGAAGGAGAGAGAGGCTTAAGGAAGAAGGAAGTCATAGTCAAAAAGGTATTTGTGCAAGAAGAAAGAAGCCTCATCAAGGTTGAGACTTCATCTCCAAGACATCAACAAGGTGGGTGGAAGGAAGAAGATTCTTCTTCCTCTTCTTCTCCTTCTTCTTCTTCTGCCGCTTCTTCTCCTTCTTCTTCTTCTTCTTCTTCTTCTTCTTTTTCTTCTTCCTCTTCCTCCTTTTTTTTTTTTTTTTTTTTTTTTTTTTTTTTTTTTTTTTTTTTTTTTTTTT